CTACAATACAGTAAGGAAAATTATAATCGGCGTGCTGATTGTTCCTTCTGAACTCCTGAGCGATGGGGGAGAATGCGTCAGTGCAACGCCACCAGCACAACGTGCCTAAAGCAAGATTCATTGTATAACCTTTCGTTCTTGCACTAAAACCTACAGAATTTTATTCCGTAATAAAATATTGGTCAGGAGCTCACTTTTATTTCTTTCCCTTCCTAGTCCCTGCCAGTTATACAAAATGAGTGAAAACAATTTTGTGTGTGCAGCCCCGGAAGAAATTATGTTTATTTGTAGAAAGCTGCCCCCGAAGAAATTTTATGTGGAAATAATTCATGTGACATTTGTTCATGTCGTTAAACTTGTATTGGGAATAAAAAAAATCGAAATCAGCGTTGCAGTACGTTGCTTAGGTGTCTAGGCCAATCCATTCCTCTATATCGTTTTCTGATGTTTTTTTTTATTTATATGAATAATATAACTCTTTGGTGCCACAGTTCGACTAGCCCAGTTAAATTGTTACGTGTGTTGTTCGTATGTCCGTCAGGCAATGACATACAAGGGAGAAAATTGCGTATCAGCGATTCACCTCCAGCGATTGCTTTAAGTGCATATAATTACGTTCTATAATACATTGGTACTGCACCCGGCGAAGTTGAGACAACATGGCATCAAATTTGGGCCTGGGCCGGGCCTGTTCTAAAAGGTGGCGGCCTGGGTCGGGCAGGGTAACTAAGAAAAGCCTATTTGAAAAAACCGGAGACGACGGACGAAGAAGGGGTCTGCACCCTTCTTCTGCCATCGTCTCCGGTTTTTTTTTATCAAATATGTGTAACATCAACTAGCTCGCCTGTTTATTTACTCTTTCTTCTAACATAGAAATTTCTCGGGCTCTGGCCGTGCCTGGGCCGCCCGGTTTCAAACACCTGGGCCGGGCTCGGGTGGGTAAATTTTCGTGACGCCGGGCCCGGGCTGGGCCTCGGTTAAAGACGCGGTCGGCGCAGTGCTCTACTCCCCGCTACCGGGAGGAGTTGAAGAAGCGGCGGAAAGAAGAGAAATACAATTGGAACAGGGTTCGCGCGCACGCAGCCTGCTGCCGTTCTTCCGAGGAGCGGCTCTTCTTTTAAGTTCAGTGTGACGTAACGACGTTCCGTTTATTCCTAAAATATGAAAAAAAAAAGTGTTTGCTGCTTTTTCGAGCAAAAGATTGTTTTCTCCGTGGTGTGGCCACAACATGGTTGACATTTAGAAAATAAAAGACCCGCTAGATATTCGTTGAAGTATCCCTTTAAAACGTACAACTGAAACCAAATTCTCGAGCGCTGACAAACTTCTTATATTGTGAGCTCCATTCATATTTGCGATCACAACTACCTCTATATCCCTGCCAATAGCGGTCCGCTAAAATGGTTGAATGACTGAGTATTTGAGCATGCCATATAGTAAAAAAATTCCACGAAATACCTACCCATGTATGGCGCCAAAGAAACGCCTAACTTAGCACAAGCCTGGCAATCTTAGAGGACAAAGCTGGTTCTGAAATAGTTTTGTTTCAAGGCGCTATTTAGTGCCAGGGTACATTTCTTTGGCGCTTCCATGGAGTTTCTCAAACCTCGCCATAATTGACAGAGTGCCAGGCTTGAGACAGATATGCGACACTATGAAGCAAATAACCAACCGTGAAGCTTAAATCTAGTGCCTGTTTTGCGATTTGGGCCAAAAGTAGGCACATAAAATCCAGACAACCAGAAGTGAAGCCAGCTTTGGAACTTTATTGGCGACTTAGACAAAAGAATGCCAGACTGCAGTCAAAGGACCAGCAGAAGAGTCCAAATATTTTACTTTTTTACCCAGATTCCGGCCAAAAACGTTAATGTTTTACTATACACTGTCTTCTGGTATTTTAAGGCCATATATTCCCAGGCAAAGACAAAACAAAATGTCATAAGAAGCTGGTTTATCTGAGAAACTGTCTTTCGAGGGTTTTGTAAATTTGCTGCACACAAGAAAACAACAGAACGTTTCTTTGCGAGTTCTATAATTTAACGCTGTCCACTCTGATCATACCTTGGAATAAAACGACTTGCAATGCAAAACTTACAATTAATAAAATATTAGGAAAAATTCCTAAACATCAAGCAAGTCATCTGATTCAGATAAGGGAAAAAAATATGTGTTTCTCGCATCTCGTTTAGGCATGACTTTTACATCGGGAGTATGCACTACATATAAGGTGGCCATTGTAGAAGATGCTGGCTTGACCTTTCTGGGAGCAACTATACTTTCTCATTATATCGGACACCTGTAAGTTTTCAAACCTTTTATATTTTATGATTTTACTGAATAAACATGCCTTCTCAGACGTTCTGTAGATGTCGATTTCTTAGTATGTGTCTGCTGGAGTCAGGCGAATCAGTTCAATGCTTTTTGAGACGGAAATAATAAATTGTGGGGCACCATATTAAGCAGCATACTTGCTCAAATGTCAGAACAAATGTCTTTCATTATTGCACTTCTTGTCACGGTTCTATTGGCATTCTCAGGAATATGCCTGCTCGTCTAATGACTCTATGTTTAAAAGAAACGGTACCATCAAATGACAGTAAATTTACAAAAAAATGTTGTGTTCATAATACAATGGTTACTTTTTATGATTAAATTAAACACAATCTTTGCGTGAGCTCAGATGACTAGCATTCAATCAGGGGGAAATAGTGGAGTATGTCCCCTGTGTTTAAAAGTGCCTAGTATTTTTTGTCTTATACACAGCCCTGCCATAGGACTTCATAAATTTCCGCTTCATTAATGGTTTTTGTCCATTCTCTTCAAACCTCAACTTACGTTTAAAAAAAACATTTTTTTGTGAGTGTCGATTAATTGTGGTGTCGGGGCGCTACCAATTAATAGACAGTTCACTATAAAATACTGTTGTTTTTTTAAAGGACACATTAAAAACAATCCCATAGAGCGGCGTGAGACAGCATGGGTGTGAATTGGTAGGGGCGATCGGTTGTGTTTTACTCATGCTGCTTGCGACCACGCAAAAGCTGTCTTACTATTTTTTTATGTGGATTCTCCGCTGATCTAACAATAATCGTAGCCGTTGAAGTTTGGAGTAATTTGTTTCCTCTGGTGTCTCCCTTTATATTCGTTCCGCTCCCATTTCCGCTAAGCAAGTATGGAAATGTTTTTGCTGGTAAACTTCAAGATATGTAGCAGCGTTTCATGATTGACTCCAGGAATAACAGTACTTAGCGATTCTCGCTTTCATTGCGCGGATCGCAGATAAGCAAGTTATGAGAGCAAGCTCCTACATACGCAGCCAGACTTACGGCAGCCACAAACAGTTATTCGCTACCGTAAAGGCTATTTAATGAATGGTTGTCTTTTTTTAGGAGCGCAGGATATTTAAAAAAAATCGTTTTGTTTGGTGCCCGGCAAAAGTATTATTTCACAAAAGTAAGAATAATTTTTGGCGAACGAAATTGCTTCTAGTGTTCTTTTTTGATTTTCTAAACTGAAGCTAAATATAAAAAAGAAATCTGAGGGTATACCAAATTGACTTATTGTCACGGGTAAAGAAAGTGACGAGAGGGTGTTCGGTGTGGAAACTAAAGAGTTAATGAAGGCGCACTTGCGCCAAAACAAAGGGGTAAAATAACGGGTGTCGTAAGCGGGCGAGGATGTCGTCGAGGAGGCACAGTCCTGCGCTCTTGCAAAACTGGCAAACGACGGGTAGAACATTCTAACCTCGAATCAGCAACACGGTTCTCGAATTTACGAGAACATCACATTACAGAGCCAACAAAAATGTGTACTTGCGGCGAGGAATCCAACTTTGGCTTTTTGCGTGGAGGGCAAGCACGGCAACCGTTAGGCCACGAGCGCGCTGCCTGCTTGGTCAGCTGCACGCGCGGCAATATTTACTGGTCGAGTCTTGGAGGCGCTTAAATAATCGTTATAACCAATTTGTATTATTCTTTTATAAAAACGGTGGCATATAACTTTTGTGTCATTTTGTTGTCTTCCAAACGTTTGCGTGGTGTTACTAAAACGTAGCAAAATGGTTCTTATAAAATGCACAGGTACCCCGAGATACTTGCGTTTAAACGATGATGTCTGGCAGAGATCATCCGTGCCTTATAAGGGGAAAGCTTATACTTCAACGCCCGAACCGGCCGCCAAAACTGGAGAGACAACAGACAGAACACGACAGAAAGAAACAAAAAGGAGTGTGGCGCCCCTAGAAATCTGCGGTTACTTTCCGAAACTCTTCTTTATATCTTCTTTTAGCTTTATCTTATTGCGAAAAATATCATACTTTTTTTCTACATGAACCCATTCCCACTTAGTCGTACCTTAATTACTTTCCCCGTCACTCAGCTCATCCTCATACTCCCACTACAAAAGGGGGTAGCAAATGGTAGTTATTTTGGTTTTTCGCAGTATACAAAAGTAAAAGAGCTGGTCATCTTATGACACTTGTTTGGCTTTCCTTCTTCCTGCCGCCCCTCCTATCTCTTTTACCGTAACCTGGCTGTCTCTAATTTTGGTGCCGAAAGCGCAGACTCCCAATAAATAGGAGCTTGTGTCCGCGTTTTAATCTATTTTTATTTCTGATCTTTATTGGTGTCAGATGAAGAATACAGACAATTATATTGTTGACGCGAACACGACTTGGCTTAGCGTACACGATGGTTCTCATATAAAAAATTCCGCATTACCACTGCACTCCCTCCATCCACAAGCTGACAGTGCAGTGGAAGCTACGTGCTGGCGGAAAAGTCGTACATTCAGCTTTGGTCACTTGGTCACAGTTCCGCCCACGTTCAGACAGCTGGGTCCGGAGCTGAAAGGAGGGGTGCTGGTTGATGCTGCGAGCGCTTAGCTCCCACCGGACTGTCAGCTTTGGGCTGAACGGAGTACAGATGCTTGTATCTTTCTTCCATGACAAGTGCGCACAACTGAATTGGATATTTAAAACAGTTTTTAAAGCGCAGGCTTGGTTGCCTGGACGACGGCGAGGGTGCGCCATCAAACCTGCCAGGTTCACCAGGCTCAAGCGCATGTTCATTCGACGATGGATATATAATGGGTCACATTTTGAAGAACCTCAGTGACACGCGAAAGTATAAATTCTCCAACTGCTGCGTATCTATAATCAAGTTTGCCCTTGGGTACGTAAAATGCAACAAAAATGAAATATAAGCGTAGTACTCATTCGCTAGGGAGCATAAAATTTAAATTTCCCATTCCCAGTAACATGAGCCATAAATTTCTTTCTGACGCAGACTGATTATACATGACTTAAAATAGCTGTGATTCACGGGACTAATAGGGTTGTATTTCACTGTCACGTTATTGATAAATAAAACTTCTCTTTCATGTTAAAAAAACAACTTTGATGTCAGAATGGACTATTTTAAATGTTTGCATACGGTCACGAACACCAAGTTCATATCAACAAACAAATTGCCTGGTGATGCTATTTCTAAAAACGAAACATGCAGAAATGTATTGAAAGAACTTAAAAAGGAGAATGGATTTCATGAAGATATGGTAAGTTTTTTTTGGTTTTTGAGCACCTTTTTTGTTGATTTTAAGAGTGTTTTTAAGCTTTTATGAAGAGTGCCGATGTACTACGCGCAACAATGTCTACCCAGAACGGCACTTCATAAAACAGATGTTCAAATTGTTCCCCTAGCATGCATTTTTTAACGAAATTCAATAAGCACACGGTAAGACACTAATGATCGATTATAGCACTTATCTTTAAGGTTACGTCGTAAACATTGTCTACATATTGTTAGGGAGAAGAAGATGAAGCTGAAAAACGAGGGACAAGCTGCGCGCGCTCTTCAGCTGATGCACAACGATCTTGTCGCTTGAACTCCTCTATCCAGTTTTCATTAAATCACTCTTTCAACATCCTCAAAAGTGGTAGAGGTCAGAACGTTTCCCAACCTCTCGGTTGATCCCTATTCTGGAGTTACGTAGAGGACGCACAATTAACACCCTGTCCCAAGGAGCGAGTACTTCAAACGGCCTGCCACCCCCCGGTTCCACACCATCGCCACCGACCGTCAAGAACCGGGAACGGGACCCTCCTATTATCTCTGGCTCTCCTGACACCGATGTCCACGACTGGACGAAAAGTGATGACCGCTCAAGTCACCACAATCGATGGGACGACAGCTTCACGTTGTCTAATGCAGTGTTCTTTTTGAAAGACACTACATCGCAATGGTTTGACAACCATGAGGACGAAATGAGTTCATGGGACGCCTTTACAGCCGCATTGTCAGAGGCGTTTGGAAAACCAGATCGACGCAAACAGCGAGCGAAAGACAAACTGGCTCGCCGATTTCAAGCCATTACCGAGTCTTCCACCAGCTACATTGAGGACGTCCTTCGTCTCTGCTCCAGATTGGATCCCGACGTGACCGAAGAAAATCGTATCCGTCATCTGTTTAACCGGCTGTCCCAACACCTCTTCGCCGTTGTTGCGCTAAAGTCACCCACGACAGTCCAACAACTAATCGGTGAGAGTAAAAAATATGAAGACCTGCAGAGTGCACGGATCTCGAAGGCACCACTCGAACGCCTTCCAGAGGTATCCTTTGCATGTGTTGCCGGTGTCGACTTGGCGGCATTGATTCGCATCATCATTCGTGAAGAGCTGCATTGCTTCCTTGATCACCTCGGTCCACCTTCCGACTCGACCGAAACCCACCCTCAGGCGCAGAGCGCCCAGAAAGTCGTCTAGAACGAACTTCTTGCTGGTCTTGCATCACTGACGCCATTGACGCCGGCATAAGCTTCACTACCTCCCGTACCGCCGCTCTTCTGTACCATGCCACATGATGCGCAGCACTTCTACCCAGGCTCCCGTTTCAATCAGGCCTCCCCAGCGTCGCGAAGCTACGCACCGCGCCGAAGGAGTGACATTTAGAGAGCGGAAGACCAGCGACCTATCTCTTTTAGTTGTTCTTTACCCGGACACGTCGCGCGCTACTGCCGCCGTCGCGATAACCCTAACGTGTATCGCCGTTTCTCTCAACTTAATCCACGTTACTCCCCTCGGACGACAGCCGTCCCGTTGACCGCCAGACCCCAGCTGCATTTTCACAGCGTGATAATCGCAGAGGCCGATCTCCGTCTCCTTAGCCTCGACGCCAGCGCTTCGTGTCACCAATCAATGTCGCCGCCGACGCAAAAACAACGTCAAACTGAAGCCCGCAGCCTGCGTCGCCACAGGAGGTCAGGCTGCGCCACGAAATTGCATTATAAATAATTCTGGAGATGGCCCAACGACTGTTGCTATTGAAATTGACGGACACAAATTTATAGCCCGCGTAGACACCGGTGCCGCCAAATCCTGTATCTCTGACAGTTTCCGACGCGTTTGCGCAAAGTATTGAGGCCAGTACCTGTACGAATTTTACGTATGGGAAATGGAGATTTATTTTGTCCTCTCGGCTGTTCGACACTCTCAGTGACTCTCGGCTCCATCGCTACGTTGTTGTCTTCACAGTCCTCTCGAACTGCGTGGCTGACGTGATACTGGGATGGGATTTCCTGTGGTGAACGTCGGCTGCATTTAAACACTTCTGACACCGACGAACCAGCGGATTGTGATCCTGTTGTCCTTCGGATTGCAGCCGATTTATATATCACTATTGACTGCTGTCGGAGTAACACTGCAGCCTTAGTTCAGCTTCCAAGGAGATTACGGTCTTGTCGAGCCACTGCTTACCACATTTCTGCAAAAGGGCTTGCTTGTGCTATACTTTAGCGTCACCGTAATAGCAAGCCAAAATAATTTATGTGTTACAAACACTTCTGCGCAGTTGCTCATATTACCTTGAGGAGCTGGTCTTGTAACCATCCGGACGTTCGATCATGATAGCCTGGCCATTTTGGCTCAAGACACGTGCCATCTCCATTCGCATCCAATTCCTCAAACCCAGTGCTCCACCAAATATACAACACTGATGATTGAGAGCTGCTTAACAACGAACCAAAGGCAAGCTCTTTCCAGTCTTCTGGAAGCTTATAGCGTCTTATTTGACTTCATCTGGTCAGTACTCCCACAGACATCTTTGGTGTACCATAAAATTGAAACCGGAAATGCAAGTCCCCGTATTGTATTTCCCCTGCGGAACGTAAGTGATTCGAGACCATGTGACTGATATGCTGCAAAACAATGTTATACAGCCGTCACCCAGCCCTTGGTCCTCCCTTGTGGTTCTCGTAAAGTAAAGAAACGCTTCGTGGTGTTTTTGCATGGATTACCGGCGTCTAAACAGGGTAACTAAAAAGGACGTATATCCGCTCCCTCGTATCGATGACATGCTCGACGCACTTCAAGGCTCTTCGTTCTTTTCATCTGTTGACCTCCGTAGCGGTTACTGGCAAATCCCGCTTGCCAACGCGGACAAACCGAAAACTGCGTTTGTGACTCCGGACGGTCTCTTCCAATTTAATATCATGCCTTTTGGCCTGTGCAACGCTCCCGCGACGTTTGAGCGGGTGATGGACAGTGTTCTACGCGGATGATCATGGGACATATGTCTCTGCTCCCTCGACGATGTTATCTTATTCTCCTCAACCTTTGAACATCATCTACATCGGGTCCAGCAAGTTAGGGACTGCTCTCGCTCCGCTAATTTGCAGTTGAACTAAAAAAAGTGTACCTTCGGTGCTCGGGAAATTCGGATTCTGGCTCACCTAGCCAGCTCGTAAGGCATCCGCCCAGACCCCAGCAAAGTCCAAGCTGTCTCGGACTTTCCGATTACCAGAACCACGAGAGACATCCGGTCTTTTCTTGGGCTCTGTACGTACTTCCGGAAGTTGATCCCTCGTTTCTCAGATCTCGCCGAACCGCTAAACGAACTGCTTCAAGATACACTACCTTCAAATGGGGACCTCCCCAGGCGAAGGCATTCCTATTTCTTAAACGTGCACTCATTACCGTCCCAATACTTGACCACTTCGTGCCGGGAGCTGACACGGAAATCCGAACGGATGCCAGGGGGCATGGCGTGGGGGCTGTTCTGGAACAAAATGTAAATAGTCGCCCACGTGTAATTGCATACTCTAGTTGAACCCTAACTAAGTGTGAGATAAATTGCAGTATTACAGAGCGTGAATGTATAGCACTAATACGGGCGATATCGAAATTCTGAATTAAGTACCTGTTGTTTGTTTTTATGTTTTGCACCACTCCCTTCTGTAACGCCCCTGGGCCTTGAAGGTACTGAAAAAAAATAAATATATAAATGAATATCTTTATGGCAGCCACTTTAATATTGTTACAGATGACCACGCCCTATGCTGGCTTGCCAGCCTTAAAAATCCATCTGGCCGCCTTGGATGTTGGTCGCTGAAAATTCAAGACTACGACTTTAGCGTTGTATTCAAGTCAGGAAAGTGTCATCTCGATGCTGATGCGCTGTCCCGATGCCCTCTGCCCACTGACATTTCACATGACGCTCCAAGTGACCACAATTCTTCCATCACTCTGTTAGATACCCTTGAGATCGCAGCTGCTCGAGCGTCCGATCCAACGAGGTAGAGTGGCTTAGAGCGATAAACCGGGGTTCCGGTCTGCACTCGGAAGTGACCCCCACAAGGCGGCTGTCATTGTAGGCACATTTGACCACTCGTCACATGAGCAAACCAAAGACGTGACGTCACAGGAAAGATGACAGCGCCCATGCAGCGGCTGGCCCCATCTGGGCCGGAGTTTCACGGATGCATTGTTGGTTGTCGTTCGTCTCGGCGAGCTGATCTCAGGCGCGAAGCCGTCATACGAGGCCGGTCAAAAGCGACTTCAGAGTTCAGCGTGGTGTCTGACTTAGGTATTACGTGAAAATACGGAGGAACGGTGTGCATTTCGCTGGTGACCGACGGGGATATCGTTACGGAAGAGGCATTATGCCCCACATTGCTCGGACCTCGGATTGATTCGGATACCACTAGGATAAAATTTAAGGCGACGTTTCTCTGCTCTGTTGACCATCGGAATCTTCGAGGTCTGCAGTGAAGCGCTTGCAATATATTTGGATACACAGTTTAGCTAAGTAAATTGCGTGAGTCGTGCTTGGCAGTGTGCAATCGTGGTGCAGCTTCGTTTAAACAACTGAAGGCTCACTTTGGTTGCGGGGCGTACCGGAGAGCTGCAATTAAGCAGGTAGTTCCTGTGCCGTGCTTCACGTGATGTTGTGTGCTCCCTAAATTGTTCTGGCGTAGACGTGCACTTTCACGGAGCACAGGTGTTGCAGTTGGAATTGATTCTGCCGGTCCGTCGCACGTTTCGTCGACACAAACGTTTCATCAACACTCGTTACGCGAATTGCAAGCTGTATGGACATTTCATCGAGCCTGCTACCTACCCAGCTCACCCGCTCACGCCGCTTTGCGGCGACAGTCTGCAGTGACTCATTACCAGAAAAGTGGTCTCACATCCATTTCAGTTCAGTTCGTCCACGGCAGTCAAAACCCCGAATGAGAGGATTTATTCGGACAGAATGCCACAAAAGCAATGCAGCTTCTTT